CCCCAAAACCCCAAAACCCCAAAACCCCAAAACCCCAAAACCCCAAAACCCCAAAACCCCAAAACCCCGGGTGAATATAATCAAATAGATTTTTCATGTAAAAAATTAATTGTAAGTCAAAATGGAACCTTACTATTTTGACAACAATTTTTTTGAGGGTTTTGGCAATTTACCTGAAAAGGCTAATGTTATTCTTCTATAAAAGAAGATACGAAAGACAAATTAAAAGTAATTAAAATTAAAAGTAATTCCGACTTTTCAATATTTTCTTGTTACTCATTGTGAGAAGACCAGTCTGAGATATCGATGGCAATAGCCTCTCTATAGCAAATAGAAGGAACTGGTTTTTAGATTCCATTTTATGAAAAATTTTGAGTGGATTTTTGAGGAAATGTCTGATTGTCCTGTAGGCTCGAGGCCAGAATGAATGAAGGTCATAAGCTCTCAGTTTTGGAGCTTGATATTGAAAAGCAAAAGCTATATAGGTCAGATGGAAGATCGTAAGATTTGGAAATAACAGATTTAATCTAAAATAGATATCATTATGAAGAATGTGATTACAATCTAATAAAGACCCAAGAGAGTATCTCAGAGCCAAAGGAGTCTTTTCAAGTAAACTTTGGTATCATATTTTTAGCCAGTGCCAAGCATAAAGAGTCATTGGCCAGATAATTCAAATATAATCTGTTACGGAGAAGTATGCCATATCTTTTGGTATTTCCTGGACGAATTTCGTCTTTTAATAGGCTAATTTTCCCCTAGAGAGAAACACAAGATGAATCAGAAGACATCATTCAAACAAGTTGTCAAAACAGACTGATTTATCGTTCAAATTTCTTGCATAAGGTCAAATGCGAGACTCTGATGGAAGTGTCTCCCAAACCGGGAGTCACTAATCGTCAAGAATGGAGTGATAGAGTAGGAGGTGTGTGGGAAGGGTTTCAACATTCAAATAGCAGCCAGAATATTTACTCCTCTCAAGAAAACATCACAATTCAAATCAAAGAGAATTTTGATGAGAATAAATGTTTGAAAAGCTATTCGATTTCTGTCAGCGAGGTTATTTCCATTGAGAAATTTAGAGAAGGTCTTGAATCAACCTCAAGCGAGCCAATTTTATGGCACGACCAAGGCAAGATTCATGAGATTCATAAGAATTCTCTGGAAAACCTGTTCGCTAAAAGCACTAGCTTGGCCAAAGAAGTGAAGAGGAAAATCGATATTTTACTCGAATATGGATCTGATTCCTTTGTAGCTTTAGCTTCGCTATCTTTTTAATTTATCAAATAGCAAGATAGTCACAATCTTCAACTTTGTGCTATTAGTGACAATCTTCATCAAATTCATGATCATAATATAAGCACACAATAAATATATTACAACTTGAGGTTTACCTCTCGGGGTTTTGGGGTTTTGGGGTTTTGGGGTTTTGGGGTTTTGGGG